CTCCTCCTCCTCCTTCTCCTTCCTCTCCTCCTGTCTCCCCCCCCCGTCTAACCCTCCCGAGTTTCGTGAGGAGATGGTGAAGACGGCCAGGCGGGTGGCCCGTGAGCGCAGGGAGGCGCGGACGCGCGAGCTTACGAAGGACGGGAGGTTCACGCCAGGCGCAATCGAGGCGTGACGTGAACCAAGTCTGTTTCCATCACCTCCCCTCAGTTGCTGTGCCGAGGCTGCTGCACGTTTGCACGCTCGCGTTTCAGTAGATTATGCCTTCTCTCTCTTTCTCTCTCTCTCTCTCTCTCTCTCTCTTTCTCTCTCTCTCCCCCCCCCCTCGGCATACGAACATCCGCTCGGGCTGTCGAGCCCGGTTCATTGCGTTGCTTGGCGAGATTGCAGAAGCAGAGTTTTCTGCGAGAGATGTCGAGCTAGAAGTATTGAAGGTGTTGTCGGATAGATTCGTTTCCATATTCAGAGTTCACATTCGCGAGTCGCGACAGCGAATCCTTTTTATTCTGGGCGACTGTTGTGCTAGAACTGCTTGCGGGAGCGGGCCCGAGTCTGCAGAGACTCAGGATCCGTGTTGAAGGACGCCTTTCCCCACCACAGACTCGCCCCCTGCTCACCCCATTGCCCAGTGTGTACCCTTTCTCCCTCTCTTGTCCTCTCTTCTCTCCATCATGTGTGCCCGCTGCTGCTTATGCTCCAGCTAGCTGGTGATAACGTGAATGCTGGAGCGAGCGACTCAGAAAAAAGACTCCCATCCCCCTAGCGCTGCCGCGCGCTCGCCGTAGCCCCGCTGCGGGACCTGGAGGGGGAAGAGCTTCTGACCCTCGGTTCCGCAAACACTGCCCCTGAAGCATGCGAGGGCCCCCGCCTCCTCTCGTTGCGACAAGAATCACGGCGGAATTGCTCTTGTGGTTTTCGGCATAGGAGGCCCTCACCAGCCCCAGGACCGTCAAAAGAGCGCTCCGACTGAAAAGTCGGTCCCGGGGAAGCGGTCTAAACTTGCGGATGTCGACGTCGTGAACAAAGCACGGCTTCGGAGGTCTGGTGACGCCAAAATCCACGGCTAGTTCGTGTCGTCACGACGCCGGCGCTGGTCTGCAACACGGCGTGAACCGCTCGGCCACAGCTCTCTGGCAGCGCGGATCGCTCGTCGTCAGTCGATGCTGGGCCGCTGATGGCGTTCCATCTTAGACGCCCGCGCCAGCCACACCCGATCAGTCGCAGCACCGAGCCAAACGAAGAACTGGGCAGCTGGCCCCGGCAACCAGGCCTCGCAGACTGGGGGAGGAGGAGGAGGGCACGCGCGAGTGAGGAGGAGGAGGAGGAGCAGGATCGCCGCCGCGTCGACGGGACACGACCATACCGCACCAACACCCCGCCCGGAAACCCAGCCAGGCCGACCCTGGCCCCAGGAGTGGTGCGGACGCCCGAGATCAGGGAACCGAGCTCTATACACCGACGTCTGTGTCTGGTCTCACACTGAATCCCGTGGAAGAGTGGAGGGGTCGCGGCTCGAGGAAGCGAGGCGTGGAAGAGTCGCGGCTCGAGGAGGCGAGGCGACGAAGAGAAGCTTCGAGTAAGGAGCCGAACTCTATACACCGACGCTTTTTCCAGTCCCGCACTGAAACTCACACAGGAAAGCGGATCCTGGTGTATACGGAATCCTGGTGTATACATTCTTCGCTGTCTCCCAGGAAGACGGGGAAAAAAGCATACACCACACCACCCCGACGTCGTCCCCGACCTTCAAACAAATCCTGGGATTGACAGACGCCCGCCACTAGTAATGTATATGCTCCAGTTTCCGAGAAGTGGGCACGGAAAAGATGGGCACGATGTCCAACAAAACATGTTGCCCAAAACCGACAGCGGCAGCTGTTGGGCAGGCGGCCTCCTGTCTCAAGCCGACAGCGCCCGCGGCGGCACGGACAGCGACCCCTGTTCAGAATGGACTGGAACTGCTGTCCTATCTCCGAGCATTGGTGGACACGCCCGCATGGCCTGGCCAGGAGGCAGGAGGAGGAGGAGGAGGAGGAGGCGCATTCACTGGCCACGGGAGCAGGATCGGCACAGCAGGCGTCCGAGGCAGCCCGCGCCCCCCGACCAGAGGCAGCTCCGAGCACCGTGGGCCCGAAGTCCCCCCGGTCTGGTGCCGCCGACCTCGACGCACGGAGGAGCGGCCGTCCCCTGCCCACCCATTGTAGCCGCCGCCTCCCGTGTAGCCGCCCATCCCGCCGTCGCCGACCTGTCGTTTTACTGGCCGAGGGGGGGAGAGGCGCGCAGGGGATCGCGATCGGAAAGAGGAAGAGTGATGTCGGGGGACGAAATCTATACATATCCACTGCTCCCTGGCCAGGCCCATTCTGAACCCAGGAGCTGTGTATACGCCCTCCTGGCCAAACCAGGAGGGCGTGGCGTATACACAGCTGCTGTGTTCAGGATGGGCCTGGCCAGGGAGCAGTGGATATGTATAGACTGCGTCGCCCTATGATGGGCATCGGGCCCACTTCGCCAGACGAAGGACATGCAGCAGAGCTCTGGCGCCGTGTGCCTCCACGGGAGGGCAGTGAGCGTGGGGGGGAGCAGCGCGCACCTCCCGTGCTCCTCCTGGCCCGCGGCGGCAGTTCGGGTGCCGTTTGGGGGTCCCCAATTGAGGGCCACGCTCCTGCAGCCCTCGCGCCCCCTACGTTGGATGGCCCCCTGCTGCCGTTCGACGGACCGAACTCATCGATCCATTAACCAGCCTCGAACTTATCCCTATCCCTAAGATGGGCGAGCAAAAAGCGAGGACAACCTTGGGGATAGGCCCTCAGAGACTGAGGGAATCCTCGAGATCGGCATCGAGGTGAGGTGATGTCAAACATAGGGATAGGGATATGCTTCAAACTGGTAGTCCATGGCCATCGTGGCCGAACGTCCGAAGCACTCCGCGCTCTGGGAGCGGAGGGCTGTGGCGTGCGGCGCTCGTGGCGTCCGACGCCACGAGGCACGGATGCGCCCAGAGAGGCGCGCTGGGCACCCGAGCAGCCGCCGGGGCAGGGGGCCCCAGACTCCTGGGAGGCACGGCGGCAAGGCGCGAGCAGCGCGGAGCAGTGCGGGAGAGCCGCTGGGCCGGCGATCGTGCGGCGAGCGAGCGAGCGACCTCTCATCCGATGCTTCTGTGCAGTGCCATTTCGGCTGAAGAGTCCCTGGAGGGCGAAAGCCACCTGCGCTTGGCGCACAGAACACATCGGCATCCGAGCAGGCTTGGTAGTCCCTTCGATCGGGGGAGCTCCTGGGCTGCGCATGCCTGCTGACCGAGGGCTGCCACCGCGCAGCGAGATCCCAGCAGCGCAAGGTGAGAGCCACGACAAAATCGCTCTGCGCTTCCACGGCTGCACGCCAGGATGTCACGAGAAGAGCGTGGGAAAGCACTGGTGCGGTGCAGTCGAGGGGGACCCTGCTGTGCGATTTATGGGACGTGACTTCTCCGGGTGCCGTCCGACCCAAAGCCATCTCCTGCGCACTCGTTTTCCGAAGCGATGGCAGCTGAACCATCTATGTTCTGGCCCACGCATGGGAGCACGCAAGCTCATGAAGAGGCAGTCAGATTCGAGGGGGAAGATAGGGTGGCCAATCAGGAGTAGCAAAAGCGTGCTCGGCTGACCATTCGGTTGTTGCTGCCAGGGTAGCCACCTGCCCCTGCTCCACTCCATCGGAAGAATGCAATACATGAGCGAACAGCAAAGCCCAGTCAGAAACAGCATTGCCAGCACGACCGCATTGCCACACAACCGTGCAAATCAAATGCAGACCACGCAAACAGTCGTCGTCGGCGGTGGCACACGCTGACTGTCAGACCCTGGTACTGCCACATGCGGGCGAAGCAGAGTCATCCCAAGAGTACTGCGCACAACTTTGAACGCAGCCAGCAGCGGCAGTGGAAACAAAGCTCTAGCTGCGAGGCGGTGATTTATCCATATCCACCGCCTGGGAACCGACGTCCTGGCGCCCCAGCGGGCGGTGGATATGGATACATGTTGGCCCCCAGGGGCCCGAATATGTCCATATCCACCGCCTGCCGAGGTCCCCGATGATTGATCCTCCAGGCGATGGTCATGTTTTTTCCCGCCTCTGACTAGTGAGACCTGGCGAGACGGCGGGAACGTTCACCTGCACACGGACGTGCTCACGCCAGAAGGGCCCCCTGAGATATTCGCCAGACCCTCAGCCCAGAGGCTTTCAAGATCCGACAGTATCTGCTTGCCCAGCGCTGGCACAAAGGAGGGCGTTACTCTTCGCATGGGCCACAAGCCAGCAACAGTACCGACAGCAGGCCCGGACCGATGCGGGGATCAACCTGCAACAGGCCGATCATTTCGCGAAATGTTGGCTCTCGCAGTCGAGATACTGAGCGGGTGTGTATGTCCTCCTTGATCGGCGGCCACCGATACCCCTGAAGGCACGAACCACTCCTTGAGAAACAAAATAAGCCGATCCAAAAACCTGAAACCACAACCAAAAACACAAATGCACCCCGAGGCGACCACACCTCAGGGTGAGATGCTCCCTGCGCTCCCTCTCACCCCTCGCGCCCGCCCATCCCCGCAAAGTCCTTGAAGTTGAAAAACCACTAGACATCGCGACCCGAACCCAGACCCCATCTTTGCGCGGCATTGTTCGTACCAGATCGATCTGTGGTGGCCCAAGTCGATGAAAACGCCCAGTGTGACACCCGACTGCATGATCTCCTCACAGCGTGACCCCCATAGGTATCCACCCATTTCCCGGGACTGGCTCTCCGTCTTGGATCGTTTTTGGCCCCGCGGCCCAGAGAGGGCCCCAGGACCGTGTTGATTCTGGCACATGCGTTGGAAGTCTGGGATTGCCCCGACGCAATCTGCCGTGGAGACCACGGAACGCGGGCGCGCGCGACCAGGGACCCCAGGAGCCAGGCACGGGGAGTGTACGTTCTTCCCCCGCCTGGCCGCACGCCTGCAAACCCTCCTTTACGTTGACTG